AAATGTTCGGCGGCTCCTGATTATGTTGTCTGAGCTGTGCTCGACGATTTGATTTGACTATCGCGCGCTCGGCACTAATCGGAAGCTGGGAGGAGCCGCCGAACATTTGATTGACGGTAGCGAAAAACGCATTTGTCGGTTGAGCTTTGAATTTTAGAGTCTGCATGTTTTCGAAAGACGCGGTAATACAGCGTGTGAAGATAACCGTGACAACTGAACAATTTCTAAGTACACCAAAGTTACCTGTCGTGAGCTTGAAACATTGCAAAGAAAAAAAAACAGTCAGACAAAAATTAAACAGGAGAAGATGATTACTTTGTTTTCATTAAACGCTAGTAGTTAGCCATTTTGAATTTTGAGGGACAAACTTGAAGACCTCAGGCCGTGCGTTTGCAATGTAGGCAACACTTGCATTTTTATTTTAAACAATTGACAAAAGGCTATAGTCGCTAGCGCTTTTACGGCCATTTGCAATTACAAACACAAATTACAGGATGTGTCTACCAAGTGGTCTAGTGATGCCTGGCAGAACTGACAACTTTATTACTAAAGTAATTATTGAGAGAAGCAGCCCGGATTCCCCGCACAAAGGGGTGCAATGGTTCTTACTTGCGCTGACTTGAAAACGACAATATTATAGTAGCTTATAAACTGTTACATTATCAATGAAATGACATAAGTTTAAAGGGGCAATAGCAAAGGTGAGCATGTTTACCTTCCTCAGATTTATCAACACTCATTCATTTAATTTCATGATCAAATTTCACCATAACACAAATAACAGCACAGGACATCATAGTAATTTAGTTCACTTTCGGTTAGCATTAACCGAGATATTCAAAAAGCTTCGTCCTATATATATCTCAGTTTTCAGTAATTTTGTTTCAACAATAATCATAAATTTGCATTTGGTGCTTTTCTATTTGAGAGGGACGTTTCGGTTCTTTCTTGATCTTTACTAATGTGTGATCCTGTATTGCTAATTCTGCGCCAAAAAAAATATATAAATCGTGTCGTTTCGTAGTTTTATGGGTCCTTTATGCCTTCATAATCGAATGTAACTTGAAAGCAAAATTGTATATCTATCCTTTTAAAGGAACACCTTACCATGTACTTGAATTGTAGTTCGTTGCATTGTCTTTTGAGGAATCGATTTACTGTTTCAGTTTTCGTTTTGATTTTACAAGCCGTCCTTCTGAACGTCCTATTTTATTTGTCTGGCAGCGAAATATTTCATGTATTTCATGATGATTTCAGCGCATTTAGTTCATCACGGTCTTGTCTTTCTTGGATTTAACGGATACACTGCTGTGTTTGATTGTTTTAATTCTTTGTAAGGTTTGGTTTTGGTCCATTGAATTGCCAACGCAAATTAGCTTAATCCTACCAACGGTTCGCAAGTTTGCCTTTCATTCGGCTTAGGCCTGTCCACATGTGCTGAAATATAAATTTAAGCGGAACGCCTGGGTACCAGACTGATATTGAGCATGCGTCAATGTCTTGACATGACTTCACCGGCTACTCATGTACCAGTCTATGCTGTCCACAAGAGAATAATACGTAAACCGAGATAGCCCGGCTTTTACGAGGTTTCTTACTTTGGAGAGAGTTAACGACTATGCCATATACAAAAACGTTCATGCCCAATTTTGCCTGCATTTGTGAAAACACCAATTTTTGGTCCATTGATGTTTAAATGTGAGATGAAATGTTTTAAGGATTTGTGTGCTGGATGAAAGAGCTTTCGAAACAGCATTCTGTTTCGAGGCCCCATTAGGGTGAAGGGGGGCGGTCTGAGTATCCCGCATCCCGTTAACTTTCGGCCTAAATACCCCGTAACCGGTAATTCCGGTTGCAAAGATTAACGAATTTCTCTACTCGGTATCCCGTTTTATCTGATCGAAATGTCCCTTTTTACCCCAAATATTCTGTACCCCGCTAAATATTTGCCTAAATATCCCGTATTCCGAAAACCCGTAAGGGGGCCTTTATTTCCACAAAAGCGTACGTACATAAAAGATTACGTTTAGATATCAGTTTATCAAAATTGGCAAGCTTGATAAACTCAAAAAGCTCTTTACATTTTTCGGTGGATTTCTACACCAATGGTAAATTAGAAATCAAATAAATGATTGTGAAATTTTCAGGTAACTTTAACAGCGTCGATAGAGAAGCAAAGACATGAAACCTAAAGACAACACGGTGAGGGTAGAAAACTCTCGAATCGGACAATACGCCCAAGAACCCTCGCAGCATTCTCCAACACCTAGTCAAGCTAAACAAAGCTCTGTTGCCATTGAAAACCAAACACTCCGGGAAAAAGTGAGTTATTTACATTATTTAGAGCGGTTTTCATTTGATTGTTGAAAATTAATTGATTTGCACTTTCTGGGCTACATGATTGGTTTAAAGATGTCGCGCCACTTTTTCATCCAATCAGAAGTAAAACAAAACTAATCGTGACTCGTTCGCACACGTTTTCCCGCGCTTCGCGTCAGTTACATGTAATTACCTCGAATTTGGGATTGGCTAGAGTGATTACTTTGGTTTTACGACAAGCAATTGAAAACCGCTCTGAAGTCATAACATCTACATCTTTGTTGATTCAGTCTCTTAGAGTAGGGCATGAAATTTTAATAAATAGCACTCTAAACTTTCTTGTCAAATGTTTTTATCCTTCTGTAGATTGCGTGACTCGAAATGCTGACAAATTTGTGTCTTTTTACGTTGTTTCTATTTTTCCAGATCTATCCTGACATGAAAGCAAGCGCTAGAAAACGTAAAACCCTAATTGAGTGGATTAGAAAGTACTTATTAGAAGGTAAATTTACGGGTCTTTGCATTTCCTACACCCAGCCAACCCAAGATCTTGAGATTACCATCCAACTCTTTTTTTCGGTTTTTGCAGATGAATTGGGATTAAATTGGCAGAATTATGCTTTATCTTTCAGGGCAGGCTTTGACAGCCACTCAAACCCAGGCCCTTGAAGCGCTTTGCGCCGATGCTCCATGGTACGAAAAGCTAATTGTGAAACACCGCCGTCTGGTGGGCGTGGCCATTCCTTTTACGTTCTTCCAAGTGATTTGGTGGAGCTGTGCGGTCAAGTACAACTTTTGGAGACTGTTTCCTGACAGATTTTTCATGTCCATAACAATGATATTTGGTTCCATGATTGCAGGTAAAAATAATGATTAATTTTACGAATGGAAAACATTGTATCCTGATCTTTATACTTATATGGACGATAGAAATAGTGTTATGTAATGTTCAAAACTCATGCGGAACTACAAGTAAAGCGAGTGCTTTCCCTGAAATGTTTTGAACAGTTTGTGGCGTGGTCTATAAATATCTGTACGGGGAAGAAAGTATTTCATACAGCTGCAGTTTATACCCGGGGGGGGGGACTTTCATATAAAAAGGACAGGGGGGCTTGTCGGAAATTTTGAAAAGAACCCCTATGAGGTACCGAGATCCTGTTTGTAGGCGTTGCTTGAATTTTTTTTTTTTTTTCACCCGTAGGAGCTGGCAATTTTAAAACAACATATTATTTGACACTTCCATAGTTTTTGATAGCGATAGAGAAGATTGCTTCGAATACCTTCTACTCATAAAGTTAATTGTCAACTATCTCCTGTCATATTTTTTTCAGCTCGATACCCTACAAGTTACCGCAAAAGCTCTCGCTGTTGACCTCTTGAGGCTGAGCACCCTATAAGGGGTATTAAAACTAAGTTTTCAATCCCTAACGGGTACGACAAGCACCCCCGTTCTTTTTATATGGGAATCCCCCCCCCCCCCCCCCCCCCCCCC